AAAATGTCTATGCCAATCAATTGAACTATACATTCTTCTACTGCTTTATTCTAAGTAACAAATCTATTAACTTGCAGTTTTCTCCAGATCATTGCTTTAAATTTCATATGGTAAGTAAGATCAGCTATGGATCAAGGAACCTGATGGTTCCCAGCAGCAATAAAGCAGCCCTTAACATAGTTCATATAATCACCCTGGCATGCTGTAATCATTCTTTCCTCAAGGTACAGAGCAGTGTTTGGGCCTGTTCCAGTTAAGAGCCCAGTGTAGATGCTCTAAACTGTCCTCTGGGAAGAACCTGCATCACTCTGGTGACTACATAAGGAGAATTAGGAAGCTAAGCAGATAGGTGCTTAAAACTCTGTAATGCTTGTAAAGCTTGTAGATTAGAAGGTGAAACTAGACAGATGTAGACAACATGACTCATCCTACCCCTAATAGAAAACTAAGCTATATGTAGCTATTAGACAACAGGACTCTTGTTATAATTTTATAATGATTGATAAAGCCACTCACAGGGTCACAATCTAACCTCAGCTTCAGACGGATAACACAGAAGACAGTTCCTCTCCCTAAATGCATGCAGTATACAAGATAGAAAGCAGTAAACACTTAAAGCAGAAAAATGTGGTTGGGAAACTGGGAGTACAGCCTAAGAAAAATAATATAATCTTATTTTACTGTAAAATGTAAGTGTGTCCACTTATCTAAATAATGTCAGACGGAAACACTATAAGATGGCAAATTATATGCTCACAAATAGAGCAGCTGTAACAGTATATATGGAGCCTAACAATGGTTATGCATACAAAATGTAACTCAACAGTTCAGAGATCAGTAACAAATAGGTCATAATTCAGTTATAAGTCTGATAAATTTGAAGTCTGAAAAGTTCACACACCCATTCATTTCACCATGGAGTTAAAAAAATGCCATTAATTGTACTTACATTGTAGGTACTTTTTTTTTTAATTTCTGCATTATTTAGGAGGAAACAAAATATCTATGTTTGGTTTTCCTTCAAAAGGCCAAATGGACAGCCTTGTAATTTACTCAGTTAAAATGGCTTTATTTAGCAGGGTTCATAAATCAGCACTTATGGAATCCCTTGTGTGCACACAGCATGTATGTTAATCTATACATACAACACATATGCAAGGAATCTTCATGGTTCAGAGATCGAGAATTCATTTTATCTTCCCTGAGTCAACTATTGAGTAAAAATATCAATAATCTCATCAAAAGAATTTGGCCGCTAGAGGCATGAAGTTGAATGACAATCACAGGTCTGCAGGCAGCAGAAATTACCACCTCATGCAACCCAGCAGCAAAATCCCTGGTTTATTGTGGCCATGCAAGGTCAGTACAAGCAGATAGGTAGCAAAAAAATAGTGTAGGGCAGCAGACTGAAAGGGTAGCCCAGCAGAAGTTAAATCTTGTCTTGGCACAGACCAAGGGCTCTGAATTCAGACAATTGTTGAGGCAAAGCTGGCGCTCTGCCTGTCAATGCTCCAGGAGTAGCCAGAAGTGCTGAGAAAAAAACATCGTGTTGGCCCTATCATCAGCTTCTCTTCCATGTTTTATACCATTATTTTCCAGTAAGATTTCTGGAAGTGCTGTGTATCTCCTGTTTCTACTGAAATCCCTACTTAATTTAAAGGAGTTGCTGTGACACCTCAGATCCCTTTAAGTTTGATGGGTTTGGGTTCCTGAGAGAAGAGACAGGAAAGGCAGAAAGGGAAAGGGAAAATGGACACAAGAAGTAACCCAGCTATAGATCATATGGCATTTGGCAATGGTAGATTAAAAAGTCATTAGCTATCTCAAAGCGAATATTTTAAACAAAATTACATCTTCTGATTTAAACCAGCCACAAGCCAGGAAATTCAAGCTTAAGAATGGGATCCATTTAAAGTAATTTTATTCTAGCTTGGTTTATCAGTATACTTACCAGGAGCAACTTCCATACTTCATGAAATCTCAAGCAGTCCAGCCAAGACCTGGTGATAAGTTGCTCTAACGGCAGCGTGGGGGTTGAGAAATGCACTTTCCTTTGCATTCATGGCTACAGGTGACCAAGTGGTAATGACACTATTAACACATTTCACCTTTTTAAGCTCTCCCGCTGGTGTTTTACTTATACTAGTTTATGGAGGAATCATTACACTTTGGTGTTACAAGTCCCTTGCGTTCTTAGTGGTGTTTTTAAGAAAATAAACAGAAAAGGGGAAGGAGACCATCCTCTAGGATATGTGATTTTGGATAAAACCACCTGATTCCATCAACAAATTCTGTCTTGTATGAAAAAAAACTTGAGAATTTTTATAACAGATCAGATAAGACTGAGATCAATTTAATTAAGTTTTCCTGTTGGGAATCAGCAATACCTGCTTTGTAATGAGCAGCTATTAGGTACTTGCCATATTTTCTAACTGATTCTCTAGACAGATATGTTTGTATTTGTTATGTAAATGTACATAAGTATATTTAAAAAAGGAAAAAAAAAAGTAATATTGTCTCAATTCATCATTTGACTGACTCCCCACTCTAGATAGGCATGCAAAAGGATCTTTTGTTACAGCTGCAGCTATGTTTCTATGTCCTTCTCTATGTAGCCTTCTGGATACTGTAGTGATTCTTCAGAAAATATTACACAATTCATTGTTTACTTCTTCTTTTCAAAAGCTATCTCTCCTACCATTCTCAATTCTTTTTATCATGTAAATACAAAAGAAATGTCCTATTTAACAACTGTAACTTACTAACATCCTACAACTGAGGGGTTTTTTTACCAAAAACATTTGTCCTTGACAGCTTGTTCCCTACAGCGACAATATGAAAACAAACCTCTTAACTCCATGAAGTTATTTAAAAGAAGAAAAAAAAAAGACAACCCCAGAGTACTCCTAGTACAGCACAGACCAGCAAACAGTACAGTATATGGGAGTGTTATGGGGCCAGATTCTGTCTCCATGGACATCAGTTAGATGTTTATAACCGAACTCTAAAGAATCAGGCCAAGACTCCCACATTGAAATAGAGGCTTTCAGATGGGATTTGTGTTGAATATCCAAACAAATCTGAGTATTTGACACCTTTATTATACTCTAAATGCTTGGCTACCACAATACAAGACAGAACTGGGTTGTTTCAAGAAGAAAAAGAAGTAATTGCTGTCTTCAATTCCCTAATGGGAGGTTACAGACAAGGTGGAGCCAGACTCTTCCAGGAGGTTAAAACACAAAAAGACAGGAGGCAACGGACAAAAATTCCAAGCAGATAGTACGAAAATTTGTGTCAGTCATGGTAGTCAAAAAACACGTGTGTTGTCCAAAGAGGCTGTGGAATCTCAATTCTTTAAGATATTCAAGTCTTGGTTGCATGACCCTGAGAAACGTGATCTGACCCAGAGTTTGCTCTGAGTGGAGGACTTAGACCAAAAGTTCTTCAGGAGGGGGAAGGGGAGTGAAGGTTTGGGAAGGTTAGGGAAGGGAAGTGAAGGTTTGGGAAGGTTAGGGAAGGGAAGGGAAGGGAAGGGAAGGGAAGGGAAGGGAAGGGAAGCTTTCCTTCTTCAAGACGACGCATGTGACTTATACCTTGTTTGAAAACAGTACAACAGTTGGCTAACAAAATGGGGTTTGAAAATTGGTTTAGCTAGTACAAATAAATGTACCCTGTGATTGTCCACACCAATTGTCTCTGCTTAGGCTGTCTTTTATTGGTTTTTTCACTGTACTGGGAAAGTGGAAGCAGCATGATAAAGTACACATCAAGGGAATGAAAATAAAGATTTTATATATGGAATGACTGTGGTCAAGGCTGAATTTAGATCTCGAGTCTATTCAGGCCAGTTCTTCAAATGCCATAAACTTGTGTAGGCCTAGCTGAATCCAGTGTCACACCAATTTCTGCCTGTTGAAGGTCTGGATTTACTGCACTGAACTATGAGTACAATCCCCCATGGTCACGGTACAGAAACTGGCTGGGGCCCAAGAACATACAGGTTTATGAATACCTAACAAACTATAGGGATGAACATATGTCACACCCATTACTGCGGTGATTTTCCCCCACACTGCACTTACTGTTCCCTCAGAGCAAACTTGAGATTTCTGTACCTCCATCACCAAGCAACTTCCTTTGTGGCTCAAGTAGGGGCAGATGTCCCAGACTAGTTTCTTGCAGGTGGATCCTCAAAGGACTTACTGGCCATTTGGTCATTAATTCATACCTTCTTTTTCAGAGTCAGAGTGAGGAAAGACAATGTCACAAATACCTGTACAGGCAACTCCTTGGTCCCATGGTGTTTAACCCAATGACCAAACATGGACTTTCACATCTTGCTCCTGTCACACCAAATCCCACCTCTTGAGACAACCACCTGCCAAGTTTCACATTCATTTGACACACACTTCATGGCTCTGTATCTTCCTTGGGATTTTTAATCTTACCGACTTAACACAAGTAGTAACAAACAGGATTTTTAGCTACCAACAGGAACATTAATTCCTCCATGCAATGATGGGACAGCTTCAAACCTTTTGTAATGCAAAGAATAGAAACCAAGGAAAATCTTTGTTTACTACCAATATTTCACTTTCTCTGCTTTGGCAAGTGTACCTCCGTCATATACTCATCCACCTGTGTGCCACAATGAGGCCAGTCCCTTATCAGAAGCATGTTAGCTCTGTTGTTTCTGATCCCTCCCAATTCTCTGGTTACAGTGGGTATTCCAGAAGTCTTTGTAAGTCATTCCATTAACTGTGACATCTGGTCCACTTGGATGATCCTGACATCACAAGTATGAAATGACAGGAAAATTGTTCTTGTTACAATTGGTTTTTAACCAAAAATGGAAATGTCCTGCCTAGCTGACTTTTCGTAAAGCATCACCTGTGGTTTGTAAGTTGAAATGTCCAGGATACAGGACCATGTTTTTGTATTTCATCAACATTGCAAAGTTAAAGATTTTATTTAAAAGAAAAATAGTAAATGGCACATCATGTAATTGCTATTTATTTTCATAAACATGAGGTATTTCAAAGTGCTATAAGACGCAGCACTAAATGTACATCGTTGGAAGAAATCAAACACAGAACTTTGCAGTTACCCAGTTCTATGCACCAAACATTAACAAATACATTAACTGGAAGAAACAGGCTAGGAAAAGGCATATATAGTAAATTTCTTTACAAAAGTTTCTTAGTTCAAAAAAGTGATAAAGTAATATCTACTCAAAACTTTCACAACTCATTTTCATACGAAAATATAAGTATCAAATTTAGTTATGTATCAGCATCATACTAAAGTATACAGGCAATGTAAGAATTAGTACAGTACATAACAGAGATTAACAATATATTTGTATACAAAAACATGCTCCTCAAACATTGAGGTATTACAGTACTTAGGTATGAACTTCCAGTCTAATACTGGCAGCAAAAGCCACCTCTCATAACCCAAGACATGTACAAAAGGCAAGTGTGTAGATGGTATTTACAGAAATTCCCACAGGGGTACAAAATGCCAACCCCTAAAGTAACATCTGTTAGAACATAAGCACCATAAAACTTAGAAATGAACATTTTAAAACTCAACTAGATGTCATCAGCAGCTCCAAATGCTCACAACAATTAAAAAAAAAAAATCCCCACCATCTACAGTTCTTAAGAAGAAAAACAAAGGCAGTTCTTTGTTGTTTGGTAGTCTTGCAATAAACTCCTTGCAAGAACATCCATTTGCTCCGTACCCGGATAATATAGTTTGTCGATTACTTCAGGGACTGGATTGAAATTAAAACCAACATTCTTAACGTCAAAAAACACAATTTTTTAAAAAGAATCAAAAATGTGCAAAGTGGCAATGACTGTCCTGGTCAGCCAAAAAAAAAAAAGAAAGAACCAAAACAAAAAAAAGTTTAGCAAGTCCTCTTGTATTCTATTTTCTTTAGCAATTGTTGTTGTCTGGCTTGCAATTTTTCCTTTTCTAGCAATAATTTTTGCTCCTCTTCCTGAAGAGAATGAACATATTCAGTGGCTTTTTTCAAGATCACAACTTTCACAGCTTTCTCATTTTTAACCAGTTCTGGAATATGGTCCCTTAGTGTGAGGAAACTTGACCGTAGATCATTACGTCGTTGACGCTCCAGGATGTTATGGTTGCGTCGACGTTCACTATCCTCTGAATCAGAATTTCGAGGACTTGAACTCTTAGGCTTTGGTTGGATCATGGGTTTCACTGGACGGGGCACCTCGGTTTTTAACTTTTTCTGCGGTGGAGCTTCTTCAGGCTCCATGTATGGAGAAGGAGCGGCATAATTATGCTGCTGGTGAATTGGTGCACAACGCTTTAAAATCAGTCCATTCTGCTGTGTCGTGACTGATGGAAAAGTGGTATTTTTAGTACGCACTGTAATAGTAAGGGTGGTAACAGCCTTGTTGGTGGAGGAGCGTCTTTTCTCCACTGTAACAACATCTATTTCTTCTTCTTCATCCTCTTCCTCCTCATCTTCATCATCTTCTGGTAATAAAAAATGGAAAATAAAATAGATGTTATTCTGGTTGAAAACACTCTGACCGAGTGTGAATCCAGATGTATATATTGACAAAATATATCCAGTAAAAGCAGTAATAAAATAACTGATGGCAAAACCAGGGTGTGCCCACCATATGTAGTCAGATATAGATCTGTAAAAGTAATGTAATGCACACGAAATGAGCAAAGAATAGTGATTTCTGAAAACTTTTTAAGTTCAGTGAGGTGGGGTTTTTTAAACACGTCTGATTTTTAATCAAAGGAGGGCTACCACCCACATAATCACAGAGGCAGAAAAGAATTTTTAGGCAGAATGTATGTATTTTGAATGGAATCGTCGAGCTGCGACACAAAAGTCAAGCACAGAGCCACAACACAGCCCCTGCTTGGTAGAAAAGTAGCCGGAAAACGAAACAATCGCTGGGTTTGTTCTGAGGCAGAAGGTGAAGCTGTTCCAGCCGGGGACCCTTTAAGCCGGCGCTTGGTGCACTGCCAAGAAGACAGCTGTTGGAAGTGCTTCCTCACCCAAAGCTGTCAAACCAGACATTAAAGGGACAGCAGGCTCTGAAACCCGGGACGGATCACCAAGTTTGTGGTTGTGGTCATAGGGACCAGCTCACCCACACAAGCCGAACCGCATTTCAGTCCAAGTGGACTCTTCTGGGTGCACGGACAGGGGACGCTTTGGGCATTTTGGGCTCTGTCAGTACAAGCGCTGCTCTAAGGGGTCACTAGCCCGGCTCCAGTCTTTCCAGATCGCGCCTGAGGGCACACGCACACGGTCACCACCAGGGTGGCAGTGGCGGCCCCCTCCGCCCCACGGGGGGCAGGGCACGGTGAGGGAGCCCGGGGCTCCCCGGCACCACGCAGCTCCCCCGGGCCGGGCCGGCTCCCCAGTGACGCTTCAGCCCCGCCGCCCCCCAGACCTACCCGCACAGCACAAGGGGCTGCCGGGCGCTGCCCCCGGGCCGTGTCCGCCGCCCCCGCGGGGGCCCCGGCGCTGGGCCGCCCCTGCTGCCGCCTGCCGGCCGCCCCGCCCCGCCGGGGGCCGCCATCGCGGCTGCGCCCCGATGG